TTATCTTTTAAATTTAATTATATCATTTTATAGGTTTTATAGGTCCAGTTGCTTTTAAGTAAATGCATTTTGGAATATATTAATATATATTATGGATATTATGAAATAAAGGTTCTAAAAAAATTATTATCTTTTAAATTTAATTATATCAATTTTTATATTTTATAGGTCCAGTTGCTTTTAAGTAAATGCATTTTGGAATATATTAATATATATTATGGATATTATGAAATAAAGGTTCATTATACATTAAAAAAATTAAATAACTTTTTGCAAATAAAAATGTTTTATATAAGACGGAAACTACTTTCAATCATATATTTTTAACTAAATTATTTACATATTCAATCATATTTTAGATTAAAAAATCAAAACATAAGAGACATATATATGTACGTTTGTGTGTGTGTGTGTGTGTGTGTGTGTGTGAGTGTGTGCGTGTGTGAGTGTGTGTGCGTGTGTGTGTGTAAGGTTCTTTTGCTTAGTCATAGTAATCATTAAAATACGAAAACCAATGCAGATTTTTTGCTCTCCTTCTCTTAAATAAGCATTCCCTTCTCTTGCTATTCGGTTCACTATACATTTATTCAATGTTAAGGAATTAATGTTCCCCTTCCTTTTGCCTTTCAATTACCTTTTTATACTCTCGCATTTTCTTATCTTACGGTCAGTAGAAACGCAATCGTCGTCATCTTTACCACGATCATCTCTGTTACTTTATTGTAATAACTAGTTAACATTCATCGATTCTTTACATGGCTATATCTCAAGAAAAAGCATTCTAAATATATCTTAACGAAACATTCTAAAGAAGCATTCCTATACATTGCGAAAATTAAAATTGATAGAAGACTCATCAGTTCGTTAAACTAGTGATCAAGTATTGTGTCAATTATTGGAAATTGTGGATTTATATTCCGACTTCATAAGAGTTGCAAAGAGAATTGCGAAAATTGATAAAAACTCTTGCTACATAGAACAATAAGATGGCGCAAAAAAGAAATTACGTTGAAGATATGTTGAATATGTCGGATTCTCCGGCAAAGGACGCTAGCGATTATCAAAGTGAAATCCCTCAATTCTTCGCAGGTTGTAAAGTTCTTCTAACAGGTGCTTCAGGTTTCCTCGGTATACTTCTAATAGAAAAGTTATTGCGGTAAGTACTTTTTTTTTATATGAAAATCTTCAGTGCAATGTACAAATAATGTGCAATATAATTTATTAAGACATAAACGTATATATAATGTTAAATATAATATAATCGTTAAGATATTAATAAATTGTAGATATAATCATAAATCAAGTATAGATACTTGCCGAAAATTTTATTAAAAATAGATAAAACATCTGCAGATGCTGCCCAGATATTGAGAAGATATACGTATTAATGAGAGCAAAGAAGGAAAAATCACCAGAAGAGCGATTCAAAGAGCATTTCAACAATCCTGTATAATATAAAAAAAAATATTTATATAATTAAATGAAAGAGGCATATATTATATATACATATAATTTTTTCTATATTTTGGATTTTTAGGTTTACGACAGACTAAAAGAAAAGCAGCCCAATTTTGGCACCAAAGTAATAATGGTAGAAGGTGATGTAAGCAAATTAGATCTCGGATTATCACCGGAAAATCGAAAACTTATTTTAGATACAAATATAATTTTCCACGGAGCAGCAACTGTACGATTTAACGAATCCATTCGAGTTGCAGTCAATATAAACGTGAGAGGAACAAAACAAATGCTTCTCCTCGCGAAAGAAATGCCAGATTTTAAGGTATATAAAAAATTCATTTTAATCGAGATTTATTTTTATGATTGCAAAAACGCAACTTTGGTTACACAATTACTTTTCAGGCTTTTATACATATATCTACCGCATTTTCTCATTGCATATACGACTTTATTGAAGAAAAGTTTTATCCTCCACCTATTGAAACGGATAAAATTTTAACATTACTCGATATTTTGAACGATGAACAGTTGGAAAAATTAACGCCGACGTAAGTGCCTTTTCAAGAAAATTAAAAATTTGAAAAAGTTAAATCCGTTTCATTGATATAAAAATGCAATAAATATTTTTTTATAATCTCTATCTTTCATTGATGTATGTATGTGCAGATTAATAGATAAATGGCCGAATACATACACCTTTACAAAAGCAATTGCTGAAGATGCTGTGCGGCAATACAGTACTGGAATTCCGGCCTGCATCGTACGCCCATCAGTTATAATATCAACGGCAAAGGAGCCAATGCCTGGATGGATTAACAATGTATACGGAGCGGCAGGCGTAGTCATGGGTGCTGCTATAGGTTTATTACGTACTTTGCATTGCCCACCTGAAAATGTAGCAGAAGTAGTGCCCGCCGATTATGTCATTTCTCACGTCATCGTCGCAAGTTGGGACCTCGCCAAAAAAAAGTAAGTTTATATTACCAAAAGTAGATTTTTTTAGATACTCTTTACATGAAATTTTTCTTTATCTCTCTCTCTCTCTCTTTCTTTTTTTTTCTCTAACTTTTTATAGTATAATCTTTGTTAATATTTTACTGTATAACAAAAAATAGGACATTAAAGCGTACAGCAGTTCATAATTTTATTACCTGTAATATATATTTTTCGTTATAGAAATGATCTACTCAGTTTTGAAAACGCGATTCCGGAGATACAAGAAACCGAAAGAGTGCCGATTTACAACTATGTATCAATATGTCAAAATCCCCTCACTTGGCGGAGATTTCTGAATTTGAATAAGGTTTACGGCATGCAAGTAGTAAGCACGCACGTTATTTGGTATTATATGCTCCTGCTAAACAAATACAAATTCGTACATGAAGTCTGTGTAATATTGTTACATAAAATACCTGCTGTTATATGTGATATTCTGTTGTTCCTTAGCGGACGAAAACCTATGTAAGAAAAAAAAAATTTCATCGATTTCATCTACATATAATGAAGAATTCTCGCAAAAATACAGATTTTACAATTTACAGGCTACGAAAAGCATATGCGAAGATAGACAAATTTAACTCCGTGATATCGTACTTTTCATCACAACAATGGCGGTTCTGTAACGACGCTGTTATAAACCTCTGGGAACGCATGAATCCAGCTGATCGCGAGATTTTCAACTTTAACATAGATGATCTAGACTGGGAATCACATCTTAAACATATGATTCCTGGTATGCGCGTATACTTAATGAACGATCCACTGGATACTATAGAAAAAGGACGAGAGAAATATAGGAAGTGAGTATTGCTTCTGCGTGAATTTTTATTGTAGTTTTCATGTCGTAAACGTATGTATAATGAATTTTCTTTTTTCCAGGCTAAAAATTGCTCATTATACACTGATAACCGTTTTTTCGCTTTGAATCATAAATGTATAACCAGTTTTTTACAATAAAGCCTCGAATTTCGGAAAAAAACGGCGGAAGCAAAGTTGTACACCTAATATATAAAAGAGAAAATATATATGTAATATCAAAATAATACATATATTTCTGAATTTTGGATTTCATACATATATTAATTTGTATGATATTTGTGTTCTTATAGCATTAAGGAAAGTAGGTTCAGAATCATAATAAATAAAATTTGCGATATAATTTTACGAATATTATAGAAGCATTTTTTATGTTTTGACATAGTTTGATTAGATTGACCCTTGTCATTATAATAATACCAAAGCATCTTTAAACTATTTTTATTTAAAAAAAACGAAATCATTCATGCAAAATATAATTTTTTTTATGTAAAAATTTTCAAGTCATTGCCTTTTTTAGTACGCTTTCATTAAAAATAACCTCTTACAATTCGTTTTTTTTTTTTTGGTATAATATTTCAATAAAACATGCGAGATGTTATATCGGAGGTGAGAATCTCATTAGCTTCGGAAAATATTATTACCATAATTGTTACCGCTGAATCATCATTTATGTCATAATGAATTTATGCTACGCAAATACCGTTCTTACGATAGCATTACAATCTACAACACATTACGTCATGTTGCAACATGCACAATTAATAATGCATTATGGCATAATATAACGTAAAACTATCGTTGTAATGCTTTGTGGAAAAATAAGCAATGTTCAAATTATATCTACGTACAGATAAGATAACTTTAGTGATATACCCTCTTTCCTTGAATATTCTTTTTCTTGCATTTAAAACGTGTATGTGTACGTTTGAGAAAATTTTTTTAAATAAGTGTGGTTGCTATAAATCAAGCTGATACAGTAGCGCTAACTGCATCCATTTTAGAGCCGGTGAAACTACATGGCCAGATTGATTTTTCAATCTGCCACGGTAAAACGGCCAGTTGATACATGTCCGTGCTAGATCCATAATTGTGGATCAAAAATACGGAGAAATATAATGGATTTATTAATATCTTATTAGCTGCATGTTTTGTCATTCTAATATATACTAGGGACAACGATAATAAGTTATTATTGAAATATTTTTGCGTATATGCGCATGTAATATGAAATTTATTTTCTTAATAATTTTCTTCCTAGTTTTTAAATATAATGTATAGAAGATATTTAAAATAAATTGCTTTCACTTTATTCTTATTCTTGGAACAAAAGAGATATCAAGTATTTTAAGCAATATCAAATTATGGTTTTAGTTTATATAATTTCTTATTATTAATTTTTTTTATTTATTATATTATTTAATTATTTGAAAATAAGCACATAACAATAGATAAATTATTCCCATCTATCATCATGTTTCATCTACAATTTCTATTATAGCAAAATAAAATTGATTAAGAGCATTTATATCGGAACAAAATTATAACACTAAATTACAACCTCATTTCTGAATATCATCCTTAATTTGCAAATAATAAAGATAGATGGGAAATTATAGGCATCAATGATCATTTTATTAATTAGTTAAGATTAAATAGCATTAACATATTGAAGATAAATGCAATTAGCTTTTAGCATGCGATTAAATAAACTCTCGATATGCAACAGATAAATCATTATTACATTTATATATGAGAAAAAATATTGTATTTAGAAAATTTTAGTAATAAAATTTCTAGTTTAAAAATTTAAGACTAGACAAGACATTTTTTAGCGACGGTTAATTACGCGATATTTATTATTAATAATCGACATACAATTATAAAGCTTAATCAATTTTACATAATGTAAATAATTGTGATTGAAAGAGTCGTTAATGAAGTAATCAATCGTCTTTTAATTGTAGAAGAAAGTACTTGCACTATTGGCGCATTTTGCGTAGACTTTCAAAGAAAACATTCAAGACGCGAAAAGATAGAGCTCCGATGTAAATCAATTAAATTAAATTATAAGATAAATAGCAATTTAAAATTTGCGAACAAACGCGATGAATAAATAAATCGAGGATATTCATAATATTCGATTACGATGTATAATTTCTATAATAATCGAAGCCCACAACACATGCATGCACGCGCAATATAATTACTTATCATAGCATTTATTATTCAGATACAGGAGTTTAGCAAGTTGTCTTCTGAGTGCGTTATTTGCCATTTAGCGATACAAGGTATGAATGACAGTGCATGCTATGGTTAATAAGAGAACGCCTGATTAACAATAAAATATAAAAATCTGAAACTGAAAATAATATTGTTATATATAAAGGGCAATGTATATATTTTTTATTAGTGATATATATGTATACAAAATAATGCCAACTGACAATGTGCAATATACCTACCGCTAATAAATTACCAACCATTTATAATGATTATTAGCAATGTTGGTTAATATATGTTAGCAATGTTAAGAACGATTCAAGCTATAAAATTGTAAAACCTGAATATTTAGAATTATTTTGCTCCAAAAATCAAAATTGATTTGTAATAATAAGGTCGACGCATGTAGAAAAAAATATTAAGAAATTTTTTAAAACAAGATATTCAAATATTTTATAAAAAATATTCTATTCTAACTTTTGCATGTTATTACGATATAATAACCTCAGTAAGCGTCATTTGTTTTATATAATTTAAATGAAAAACAGTAAATTATTAATAATACGTAAGAAGCAAGTTTGTTTCACATAACTGAGGGTTTGAATTAATAATATATTCGGTCTTTATGAACCTATAATCATTAAGATAACAATAAAAAAATTCGTTAATAATTAACAATGGCAGGATTAAAATATTTTATTATTTGATAAGCAGCGTTATAGTGTAGATGTCTTTTTATACTACTATCTGCTGGCATGTAGGAATTATGTAGTCTTCTGAGCAGAGATAGATGGCAGCACATGAGAATATAATTCATTTTTCTTACTATAATACTCTTTGAAAAAACTCGCCACAAATCTTATATAATATTTTATAATATTATTTTATAAATGTTGCATTTGTTCATGTTTTTACTAACATAGACAATTAAACATTTGTAATTTTTCGTTATGCAACTATTATGGCTGCGTTTCGATATTTACTGCCAGTACTGAAAATCTATAGTTTAGTTCACGTACATTATAGATTTTTAGTATTGGCAGTGAATATCGAAACGCAGTCTATGTATGATATTGTATAGATTTAAAAATATTACTGTTTCCATATTTTTTATTATATACTCCCTATTTTTTATTATATAATCTAAATTTCAAGAGTACACAGAAATATTTAGTTCCTAAACATGCACAAATAATGACGTATATTTCATACTAAAAATTGACTGTTGCTTCTTACTAATCAATTCTAATTTCTGATCACAGTAGCAAACGACAATTTTATGATTACTTATTCCATTAAAAATTATACGATTTATGTCGTGTTTAGTATCATTTTTATTGCAAGAATCTCATTAATCCATTTTTAGTATCATTTTTATCGCAAGAATCTCATTAATCCATTATAATCATATTCATATTAATAACATCCAAAATGTAAGTTTTAGTTTTTGTTTTGTAAAATGTTTATATTTTGTACATAAGGAAAGATCCCCGATGCTGAAGAATCGACAAAAGCGAGAGCAAGAAAGAATGAAGGAGCAAGCGAGATGACAAACATCAAAGAGTTCCGAAGTCTCGCTCGCTAGGCTCTCTTTATCTGTAATCTTTGATATGTATATGTCACCTTACTATAGAAAATAAAAGTTATATATTTCGCATTTTATATATCTGAAAATAATTGCAATGGATTACGTTTATGCGATTAAAATGACACTAAATATGACATAAATCGAATTATTTTTAATAAGCGAGCGAGACTTCGGAAGTCTTTCATGTTATCTATCTCGCTTGCTTTTCATTCGTTATCTCTCTCTCTCCTTTTCTCTGCTTGTTCTTTATTGTATTCTTTCATTCCCATTATTATAATCTTTTATTTGTTCGACTTTTATTCTTTCTATTCTTGTTTTTCTACATGATAATAAATTTATTTATTCATCTTTATTTTATAAAGCCTAAATAAGATATTGTATATTTTATAAATAAAAAAAATATTATGTATGTGTGCGTGTGTATTTTTGTATGTGCATGTGTTTTATTTAACTATAGTGAAACGTAATTATGTATTGTATTAACTATAGTGAAAACATGTATATTACTCTCACACGCATGAAAGAGACGAAGATAGTACGATTATGTCTGTCTTTGTCATGTACGATTGCAGGTCTATTGCGACATCACGCAACTAATCTACTGTTTTGTTTTACTCTTGAGCTTCCATCTCGCACACACACATATGCACGAAAATTTTGTTTTGCAAAATCTTTTTTATAAAGCTTCTAAACTCACTTCTCTAAGTTCACTTATACTCTTTGATGAAATGCCGAGTGCGGGGTTTACTGATTAGGCACGTGCAGATTACAAATCTTTTATATTAAGTAAATGTTGACGGCTCGGAACGATAACAAAACTGTAATTTTATAATTTTTTTTCACTTTTCATATGAAATGTTAAAATCCGCACTCCGTTATTATGTATACTTTAATTGTGGAAAAAGATTTGTTGATATCTATAATCAACAAAAATATTTTTCATAATAACTAAAATTCGCGTTTTTATCGATAAAACAGACCTTTGTGAATCCCCTTAAAAAATTAATGTTCCCCTTCCTTTTGCCTTTCAATTTCTGCCTATTTATACTCTCGCATTTTCTTATCTTATGGTCAGTAGAAACGCAATTGTCGTCACGTTTACCACGAGATCGTCTCTGTTACTTTACTGTAATAACTAGAGTTAACATTCATCGATTCTTTGCATGGCTATATCTCAAGGAAAAGCATTCTAGATATATCTTAACGAAACATTCTAGAAGAAACATTCCTATACATTGCGAAAATTAAAATTGATAGAAGACTCATCAGTTCGTTAGATTAGTGATCAAGTATCGTGTCAATTATTGGAAATTGTGGCTTTTTATTCCGACTTCATAAGAGTTGCAAAGAGAATTGCGTAAATTGATAAAAACTCTTGCTACATAGAACAATAAGATGGCGCAAAAAAGAAATTACGTTGAGGATATGTTGAATATGTCGGATTCTCCGACAAAGGATGTTAGCGATTATCAAAGTGAAATCCCTCAATTCTTTGCGGGTTGTAGAGTTTTTCTAACAGATGCTTCAGGTTTCCTCGGTATACTTCTAATAGAAAAGTTATTGCGGTAAGTACTTTTTTTTATATGGAAATCTTCAGTGCAATGTACAAATAATGTGCAAAATAATTTATTAAGACATAAACGTAATATGAAATAGATTTCGAGTTGGACATTTCAATAATACTTTTTTATAATGAATAACGCATTATTAGAATTACACACACATAATTTCTATCGCTAAATTATACTATAATATTTTATTTAAAAAAAAACTCGACCTACAAACGAATTTTTCCAAAATATAAGTTTTTTAGTGATAGAACTCTTTTATATATATATATAATGTTAAATATAATATAATCGTTAAGATATTAATAAATTGTAGATATAATCATAAATCAAGTATAGATACTTGCCGAAAATTTTATTAA